GGTCTTGAAGACGGGATCCCTCGGGGGCGTACTCATTTGTTGCTTGCCGTAGTCATTTGACCATTGACCACGCGTCCCTTTCGAGACGGAGCACCGTTCCTACACCTACTAGAGACACCACCAACATTTGGGAGCTCTTTACGTTTCTGCCACAAACTCCATAAAAACTTCTTGCACATCTTATCCCCGTCCTCTAGGGCCTCTTGTGCCCACCATCTATCCCCAATGATCGCGATCGTTTTTTTGCTGTTGTCTAATTTACCAAACTTGTCCATGTCACACCCTCTCTGCCTCATTTCCTCCTCGAGATCCTCTCTTTCCTTCCTGTACAACTCACACTCCCCAACTATGTGGGGTCTACTCTCCTCCGATTTGCCACATGGACATGTGTGTCTATCCTCCTCTTCCTCTCTCCTACGGCTGGTATACCTCTTCCTCCGTCGGGGGGTGTACTCATAGTCGTGCATGCCGTAGTCGTTAGACCATTGACCTCGCACCCCTACAAAGCCGGGACGGAGCATCTCACCGAACCAGGCTCTCACATCACCAGGCGCGAAGCACCGTGAGGTATTTGGCGAGTCGCATGAAGGGTGAGCTGCATCCTGCTAAGGGTGTTCGGCATCTTGTGCTTACTTCCTTGCGTACGGATGACAGCTGCGTATGACTTAATGTATTTTCTGGTGCTTTCACTTCCAGAGACAGTTATAAGCACTGTGTAACTGCCTCGAGGATGCTTGACCAATTTAACACAACGTGGTGTGATCATCCCCCTTGCGCGGATTGAGGTTTCTCCACCCCGCACAGCATGATCTACTCGACCACCATTATGGTTACCGCCAAAACAAAACCAGAGGTAAAAAAAACAAACGGTAACCTGGTTGCCGAGTTCACGAAGTGAATTGGCTTGTTTTACAACGTCGTTGCCAAGCGACGAAAACCCAACCCCGATGGCAAACACCGGGGGGGAGGGGGGGGGGGGGGGGGTGTACTCATAGTCGTGCATGCCGTAGTCGTTTGACCATTGACCTCGCATCCCTACAAAGCCGGGACGGAGCACGCCGGGTTCTCACCGGACCAGGCTCTCACATCACCAAGCGCGAAGCGCCGTGAGGTATTTGGCGAGTCGCATGAAGGGTGAGCTGCATCCTGCTAAGGGTGTTCGGCATCTTGTGCTTACTTCCTTGCGTACGGATGACAGCTACGTATGACTTAATTTATTTTCTGGTGCTTTCACTTCCAGAGACAGTTGTAAGCACTGTGTAACTGCCTCGAGGAAGCTTGACCATTTTAACACAACGTGGTGCGATCATCCCCCGTTGCGCGGAGTGAGGTTTCTCGACCCCGCACAACATGATCTACTCGACCACCATTATGGTTACCGCCAAAAAAAAAAACGAGGTAAAAAAAAAAAGCGGTAACATGGTTGCCGAGTTCACGAAGTGAATTGGCTTGTTTTACAACGTCGTTCCATTGGGGGGGGGGGGGGGGGGGGGGGGCAAACACCCAAGGGGGGGCTTGTTTTACAACGTCCTTGCCCAGCCACCA